CTGCATTTGTTCTGTTTGACCATTAAAAAAAACCAAACTCTTAAGTCACGTTTTTGAAACATGTCTCAATCAGCAGGTTATTACAGGTTTTAAAGCACATCTCTGCATTAATATTTCTTCTCAGTAGCGCCTGTAGGCTTGTAAAACCAGATGCAATGTTGTGTAGAGATCACAGCTGTAGAGTGACAGGAGAGGGGGGAGAGAGAAAGGCGATAACACGCAGCAAAGGGCCACAGGTTGGAGTGGAACCCATGGCCGCTGCAACATGGACTTAGCCTTGGTACATGGGGCGCCAGCTCTACTAGGTCAGCTACCAGGGCGCCCCGTGTTTGACATGGTTGCGGGGGCTCACACATGTAGCTGAAACATGTTGTGACAGAGGAATGGATGGTGTGTGCGGTCATGATGCATTGCCTGTCCACATGGTTGTGATGCAGTGAGGACATGTAGCAGTGAAACTTGACCAGCAGCATACACACTGTTACACACCATCTGTGAGCCAGACACCAACTGGCCTTGTCACCACTGTACATAAGAAACATGTGCTTAGAGTATCCGGTGTGGTTTAAAAATGTTTTGGTACATTTTATCCTCATTTGTTGATAAATGTATTTTTAGTGCATTTGGAGGACAGTGAAACCTTGGAAAAGACTTGTGTTAGTACAGCTAATAGAAACCAAGAATTGTACCCCTCTGTGGGGTATTAAAGTACGCTGAACAGAAAAGTGTTGAAAATCTGCAGTCAAAATTAAAGGTCCTGTTGTAACATTTAGGACGATCTATTGGCAGAAATGACATATAATATTCAAAGGTATGTTTTCATTTGTGTATAATCTGAAAATAAGAATGGTTGTGTTTTTGTTACCTTAGAATGAGGCTTTTATATCTACATACACTGCGGGTTGCCTTCCATGGAGTCTGCAATGTTGATCTGCCGTGTTTCTACAGTAGCCCAAAGCAAACACTGGCTCTAGATAGGGGCATTCACTTTTTTCAATGTCTCGTGGCCACCGTAGTTTCTCCTTTGTGCTTGGAAGGGGAAGGTGAAGCGAGGGAATTGTGATGTACTTGCAGAGAAAGACTTGGATATGACTTTGAAAGCACTGGGAAAACCTAACAATGGGCCTTTAGTTAAGATTATTTTGTCAAACTATACGTTTTTATTTTAGTAAAGCATAAATGGATTTCTCAACCATGCCTTCAACAAAAACATTGAATTAGATTCTCTGAGGTATGTAAAAACTCAACTTATTGTTATGCATACTCTTATTTTATTCACTATTGCCAAAACTACCCTTTGTCATGATCAATTTGGTTATGGTACACTAAAAATATATAAAAAAATCAGTGGTAACTTTAAGCTGTTTTTTGTTATCATCAATAGCCTAAAATGTGAAGAAGAAAGAGTTTTGTCAACTATAAAAGAGTGAAATCCAAATGTTTTACTAAAAAACAAATTATAATTTGTTGTACCAGTATTGGTAGTTGAACTTCATACTTTATTCATTGTTTCAGTAGCGTTCAATAAGACATTCACAAAAGAATCTGCACAAATTCAAAGTATTTGGCTTAAAGTGAGGAAATTCCAGAGGTTTAATTTGAGTAGTGAAATCCTGTGAATGAATTTGCGCTTTATCTCTGCACTTGGAGAAGCTTCAGTTTCTGACACAGAGCTCTGAGAGGGAGAATGCAGCAGAGCCAGCTACGTATTACATAAGCATACTGATGCAGAAGATACCAAGCAAATATTTTGCTTCACATAGCTTCGCTTCATCCAGGCTACTTTTGCTTGTCTGCTGCTGGCCTCAAACCGAGCGAGCAAGTCAGTGCAAACACACAAAGACAGGATCTGCAACATTCATCCGACCTTCACAGTTCCAGCTTCAAGTGTACATAGCACACATGACTTTATAGTTATTTCCACTAACACACAATGTTTTTAACTCAGTTTGATCATGATTTACTTGCTGTGCTGATTTCATCAAAGCTTCTGTAAAGAAAAACTGCAAACACAGTCATGAGATCTTGTCTATAAAAATCTCTTACAATGAATGCATGCATGAACTAGACTTATAAGGCCTTAAATGCACCAGGACTTAAAGCGCTGTCATGCTTTTTTTCCTTTATCTCTCCCATTGGCTATGTCTCAGGGCATGTCAAGTCATATGCCTGTCTCCCAGAGTGCAGTCTGCCAAGGAAGTGGTTCTAATTGAGTAACGAGTTGCTGTTACTTTGTCTCTCTCTGCCTTTCTCTCTTTTTCCATACCTTTCCAAAGCCTTGACAAGATGGCAGGGCTACAGCTGCTTTTGCAGGAAAAAGTAAAGACTCTTTTCTTTCTTTTCTTTTTGAGCGAAGAGGAATATACAGAGAAATAAAGTGTTTATGTTTGTTTGCAGGTAGGAGTGAGAAAGATCCTTCCTCTTGGGGAAAATAAGGCAATCCATTTTCCTTCCTACTCCCCAAACTATTAGAGTAAATTCATTTTGTGGTTTTATAGCCTATATTTGTACTTATTTCCCTGTTTCATTTGATTTCCCTGTTTTATTGCCTGCGACCTGCCTAAACACAACTGTATATGAGTTCCATGGGGATAGGCGTTTGCTCTCTTGTACTGAATAATTAATACATTCTGCTTCCTAAAGCAATAGCATTTGCATTTTGCTGCATCTGTATTTATGACAAGCCAGTCTTACTTACACAGTGTTCACTTATTCTGACATGCCTTAAATGAAGGCACAGAATTAAGAATATGAAGAATGAACTGAGCCAGTGTTTTCTATTTTTTACAATTGTACATCAAGGTATTTTATGATATGTGAAAAGTCAAAAATGCTGAAAAAACAGCACAGTGTTGAGACAGCACAGGTTGATTGTTCAAATGCCTTAAACAACCTATGTTTATGTTTGTCTGACACGGGCTTCCAGTGGCAGCGTGAATTATGACTCTGGTCTGTCAAGAATAAAGGTGGATGTTGCATGATGTTATTATAGAGCAGTGTTGAGACTGACATTAGTACTGCATAAAAAACACAGCCCCCTCATTCATTTCAATGAGACAACACAGGGTTGCAGACACAGAAGGCTACAGCAAAAAAAAATACAGGGCTGCCCAGCAAAAACCTTCAGTTAAGTTTTGTGCCAGTCAATAATGCGCAAGCTCACATTCGAGATAGATTACGCTGTAACATGAGTTATTATACATATGGTATAGAGGATAAAATTATTTTCACTGTGATAGCTTTTCATAGTTTTTTGTGTTTTGGTGTCTGAGAAGCCTAAAAACTTGCGTTGTTTTAACGCAACGCTGTTTTTGATCTGAAAAGCAGGTCGGGGAGGAAACACGAGGCACTTTGCATACCATTTTTTGCCAACAGTCAACATTACTTTCTTTTAACCACAAGCACAATCTGTCCCTAAGCAGTTTTTATGCCTAAAACTATTTCATGTTTTTTAATACATTGATAAACTATGTCGTCCTGCCAATAGCGGAGCAAGATGAGAAATTGATCATATGAGTTCAGTTGGAGGACTATGACGTATTTTGATTGATTATTTTAATTTTGATTTGTAATTTTGGGCTCACATGTATGTGGAATTGGTCCTGTACACAGAAGAGAGATACTGTGATTAGAGGAGAGGGGGGAGGGGCCTGCCAGCCAAAATGGCTTACAGGGATAAAGAAGAGGCAGAGGTCTGTCTGTGTGCAAGCTAGAGAGCTGGAGACAGTGCCAGGCAAAGTTTCCATGTTTAACTGGCAGGCATGGAGACATAGAGAGAGAGAAGGGGGCTGGGGATAAAGATCGAAATAAAACTTAAAAGAAGAAGTAAAAGAAAGAGAAGGAGCAAGAGAGAAAGTCCAGCAAGAGCAAGAATGCAAGAGAGCAAAGGACGAGAGAGAGAGAGAGAGAGAGAGAGAGAGAGAGAGAGAGCAAGGGTGAGAGACATCCAGAGAGACTGAGAACAAGAACCAGAGAGAGAGAGGGGGGACGGAATGTGCTGACGCGGTGTTTCTTGTCTGAACTCCCCAAATTAATAATCAGCAGCGGTTTAGCCGAGCCGTGCCAGGAACAGGAGCCTACTGCCAAGCCCCGGCCAGGCAAGGCCAGGCCCTCCCTGCTCCCTCCCTGCTCCCACCGTTGCCCCCACCCCCCACCCCTCACCCCTACCTCCCCAACCCCCAGCTCACAGCCCTGCTCTGGAGCAGAATAGGAGGCACTGCCTGCCTGCCTGTCCGGGCCGGGCCGGGCCTGGCACACTGCCACAGGGCTTTTGCTTGTTCAGGAGTTTTGATTAAATCCTTTATTGTGCTCCACTCACGCAAAGAGCTAAGGCGAAACACCGAGCAGGACGGAGCGGAGGGGAGGAGAGAAAGCGAGAGGGGAGAAAAAGAAAAGGGAAAAAAAGAGAGAGGGGAGGGAGTGAGGGAGGGAAATGGGATCTCTCTTTTTTCCCTCTTGCTTTCTCCTTTTCTCTTTCTCTCGGACTGAAAAGATGTTTGATTTAGTCTATTGGGAGTTGTAAAGTAGATAAAGTTTTTGCTCGCCATCAGCAGTCTGTTTTTTGTCTTTTTTTATTTTCACTCCTCTGAATGAAGCCTCTTTTCATTCTTTTGTACGTTTACTAAATTGTTCTGGTTTTATTATCATATATCTCATCAGCCAGACTTTTAGACTACAAACTGCCACAGAAACATGCACGTTGTTTTCTCTGTGTTTTAAATGTGATTTTTTTTATTGAAATACTTTGCAAACAGATGCAACACGGGAGACTAACTGCTCCTGTGCTTTCTGCAAAACAGGTGCTCTTGCGAAATGGATACTAAATTCCTCATATTTTATTGTGTTCTTTTACAAATTTTATATATAGTCACAACATTATACATGCTCTATATCTCCCACTGCTCCTAGTTAACTATGCCCTTGTCAGTGCTGCAGAACCCCAGTGGCCTTTCAGAGGCTTTGTGCCAGAAGTGTAACAGTGATTTGTGTTGTTGTTTCAGCTGTTTCTGTGCCGGACCTGAGCGAGCAGTTCACACCGCCAGAGACGGCTCCCCCAGCCCTCGTCAGCATGATCCAAGCCATAGAGAAAAGAGGTACGTATATCCGTGTCAACCGTCCAACACATTCGTCTGTCTCGCCTCCCCGTCTTTCCGTCTATGTGTGACTGTCTCCCTCCCGCCATCTGCCTCTTGCTCTCATGCCAGCGTTTGCACAATCCACAACTTTTAGACGGGCAGTCACACAGATGTAGATGCACACTTGCAATACAACTCCTCCTCACTTGGTTTGTGACTTGATATAGATTTTCTATATTGAAGTTTAATGTGGTTTGAGTCAGAACTGTTCTCATGGGCCGCCCTCAGAGTCCTGCACAGTAGGTTTGATTCACACTGTTATTAACAAATAGCGCTCAGTGGGACCCCATTCACAGTTTTGCCTCTCTTTTTTTTTGTCTTCCTTTTTGTATTTTTTATTGTCTGTCTCTCACTCACACTCACACATGTTGAGCTGCAACTAATAATTGTTTTCATTATCAGTGAATCTGTAGATTATATTATGCTCAATTAATTACTTAATGTACAAAGCGTCTAATGATGAGAAAAGCAGCAAATCATCACAATGGAAGAGCTGGAACTAGTGAACCTTTTGTACTTGTGCTTAAAAAAATACTGAAACAATCAATATAAATGTAATCATAATAGTTGCTGATGAATTTTCTGCAGCTCAACTAATCAGTTATTTTTTTGGTTTTGCAGTTACTATACAAGAAATCAATTATTATACCATTTCATGCAGAAGAAATGATCCAATACATCCAGTACAGACTTTAGAATTATAAACTGACTCTTCTGTTGCTGTATTGCAACCATTTGCAAACGTTATGCAGTTGTGAGTAACTTCTTCAAATCCTTTGTGGATTGCATTGTGGGAGAACAGTGTCAACAGCACACTAAATAAAACAAGCCTTTTTAGTATGCTTGCTGACTGCTTGGAGTATAGTTCATTTGTCAACAAAACCTGATTAGAGTGAATTTGTGGTATGGGTTTGGGACACAGCTTTAGTCTTTTCATGAAGTGCAGTAATAAAGGTAATCTATATTAAAGCCTTGATACCTTATTGATGTCGCTAATAAAATCTGTGTTGATCACTGTGTTGAAATTGAGTCAAAGAGAAGCAAACAAGTTGTAGAGAGTAGATTTAAAAAAAATTTTAGATGGGAATCTACCTACCTTCCTAAGAGAGATTCTTCTCATGCTAGGAATTGGAGAATATTTCGGTACTGATCTCTGTATAAAGTCTGTCTCTGAATGTAAATAATACAATGTAGCAGTTAAATAACTTCCCAGTGTGGGATGCACACACACTCTGTCTGCATGGTGTGGTTTTCACAACTATCTGAGAGACTGGCTAGTCTCAAGGAATTGCCTTCTAGATGCAAGCTGTCTAGACCCACTGGTCCTAAATGTTTTTTAGGTTGGGACCAAATAGAGAAATGCAGTCATTCAGAGTTAAAATGTTTTCTTCACAGATATTTTCACAGGTTGTGTGAAATCTTATGGAACAGCCTCTCTTACAAAGTTTAGATTTCTTGTCCACCACAACAAGATCTCTAAACCTTATTTCTTCCAATATCATTGAATTGGCAGCATACTTACCTTTGCCTCCTGCTTGAACAATCTGCTTAGAAGAATTTAATGATGCAGGACTTTGGTTTTTGCTTTTTGTTTTAGACTCTGGCATTCAGAGTCACTAAATAAATCACACATTTTCCACCAAGAAGAGCACAAACAGAAATGAAACACTTAACACTGGAACATGTGTTGGCTCTTGTAAATATGATGCATCAATCTCCCTGTTGTTGGAGGTGAGACTGGAATGAAAACAGCACACAGCTGAAATTTATTTCAGCATTTATTGCAGTATTTCCAAAACTATGTGCTTTGTCACATACAAGTTGTTGCTAACAAACAGACATTGTCCAGCTGGTATGAAATTAAATGTCTGTATTGAGTGTCTCATGACATGTCTTACATGTCTTTTACATTATACATTATGTAGTCAAGTCAGTCAGCAAATGAAAGCAGCTTCGGGCTGTGTTACTTTTTTAATTATTTGTTTTCTATTGATAAAACATAATATTGCTTTTGAATTGTCCTTGTCTTTTCTACTTTTCTCTACTTAGCTGTGTTCTGTTTTTTGTGCTTTACCATATTTTTTGTCAGCTCAGTTGTATGAACTTTGACTCTTTTTCTCAGGTCTGGACAGCACGACATTGTACAGGACACCAGATTCCTCAGATTCAGACAGCACAGTGTACAGTCTGAGCTCTGGTGAGTACTTTTTAACTTTTATCTTCTTTTTCTCATTTTGTTGTCTTCTGCATATCAAGTGTATTAATCTGTATTTGTGTTCACTTTGCATTAGAGCTACACTAATTATCTAATTGCAGATGTATTAAATTTCTGTATATGTTTGAGAAAATGAAATTGCTGTACAGAAATAGGTAGATATGTTCCGACCAATATCAGAAATTCCTCCAATAAAGACAAAAATGCGGTATCGGGTATTATCCCGTTGGCCATTTTTTCCCCCAGGATGGTGAAGTCATGACTCACCCTACTCTGACTCTGACAAAGGGTTTAACAGTGATAACAATCATACAGGCATAGTAGTATACACTTACTATACAAAATAATAATATACTGTATATTTTAATGCACATGTAGCGGATCGGTACTGTGTGTCGGCCGAGTTCAGGTATCAGAATCGGTATCAGAAAGGAAAAAATGGTATCAGTATAATTTTCAGTGGTATAATGTCCCAGTCAGTATGTTTGTGGTCACAGTTAAACAGAAACAAAAAAATCTAAAGGATTTGTATCAAGATTGTTTGTTTATGTTAAAGGTCCAGTGTGTAACATTTAACAAAGTCTTTTGACTGGAATGGAATATAATATTAGAATATATGTTTTCATTAGTGTATAATCACCTGAATATAGCAATCATTGTGTTTATGTTACCTTGGATGTCTACAGACGCCGCACGTTGCCTTCCATGGAGTCCACCATGTTTCTACAGTAGCCCAGAAGGGACAAACATAACACTGGCCATAGATAGGGGTGTCCGCATTTTTTGCACGTTTTACATCCACTATAGTTTCTCATTCGTGCTTGGAAAGGGATGGTGAAATGAGGAAGTTGCGCTCTGCAATTACACCACTAGATGGCACTAAATCCTACACACTGGACCTTTTAAAGAAACTTCTACCCCTTATTGTTTAAACTCTCAAATATTGATTTCAGTATCACCCTCAATAATCCAGTATTGGTCCGGAAACTTTCCAGAAACATTCCATGGAAAGATAAGCTGGGGAATTTTGGAAACATTCAAATTTGGAAACTTTCAAGGGAATTAATGGAAAAAATTGGAACTGCCCCTGGTGGCTCGAGAAAAACGCCACAGCACTTGTTGAAATTGAAATAGGCGAAAGTGGCAAAATATTTTTGCAATGTAAGACTTGCAATAACAGAATTACGTGAAATGGTCGTGTTTCTGTAGAAAAACATTATTATTTCACATTGAGCTCGTTTAGATGAGCCACAAGCAATAACAAGACAGCTGCTGCACTGGTGGCGTCCATGTTCTTTCCGACTCGTAATGCCCAAAGACAAGTGGAACGCTATAAGTGGTACAGAGCAACTCGGGCGGGGGATTTACGAGACAAATGGATAGCACCATAAGTAGTAGCCCAAACCATTGACCTTTAGCTTAACATATGATGGTAGCCAGCATGCTGCCTTTGATTTACTATGGCTATGGTTATGGTTATATGCGTACAATACAATTAACAAATAGGTTAATAGCAATGGGTTATGTATTAACCCCCCCATATATTCCTGTTAATTCCCATGGAAAGTTTCCAACTTTGAAAATTCCCAGAATTTTGCAACCCTAGTCAAGCTACATTACATACTTAAGTGAATTAGCATTCCACGGATATATATGGGATGTTCCATATATATTCATATATACAGGCATTTCATAAGGTTACAATATATATTTTACATCAATGAAAGCATGCCACACAGTATACACAGTACATCCCTTTGTGAGTTTGATGTAGACTAATTATTTTCTTTCCAGCAGTTGTACCTAAATGTCTTTGTATGTGTCTTTGCATATCCAGAGAGTGAAATGAGGAATGAAGATGTGGGTTCCCTGTCTGAGTGTGTCCTGCGCTACCTGAGAGACCTCCCGTCACCTGTCATCCCTGCCTGTATCTACCCTCACCTTCAAGCTGCTGTCACACGGCAGCAGCAGGTCCTACAGCAGTCAGCAGGTGACAATGCTTTAAGTTGACACTTATATTGACTAAACACCTATTTCTTCAAATTAGGAAAGGGTGTCACCTTCTATGTATCTTGTTAATGTGATTAGTTACATACATACATTACTGCTAACTATTTTCCAAAGCACACCATTGTTTTTTTTACACTAACTTGTTACCTTTCATTGAATTTCATTTTATGTAGGCACAACTTCAGAGGATGTGAAACTTGCTTGAAAAAGGCGGTGATCAAAGTCAACATTTTGCATCTTTTTTCTTTCTTTGTTTCTTTTTTTGTTGACTGATTTGAAGTAACATTATTGTCACAAGATACTGCAGTTGAGATGTGAGAGCATCTAACAGTAATAGTCAGCTGCCATAAAGTATTGAACTGAGGATCTTTATTGTGTGTCAAAACCAGGAGATAAACAGTAAACAAACATGGAGTTAGATGTTGGAGTGTCTCACAAGAACATGGAACGCATCAACTGCTTTACCTTAAAAGTACCATAAAAGTCAAAGTGACTTAATTTTTCTCTGAGATGGACTATACCCATCAAGCAAGCTTCAAATCTCTGCGAGTTGATGTTCATACCAGTGGTGCCTGGAACGTTTGGAAAATATGCATGTTAAACTGATACATGCATATTTTCCATGGTATGCTTTGGAAAATGGTCTACAGTTATGCGAAGCACACACATTTTACAGTTAATGGGCTTCAACATGCAAAGCTACCATTATGGTCCTTTTTAAAAGACCAACTAAATGTATGTTCTAAATCTCTACGGGTTCCTGACTGCCTTACATCTGAAGATCATAAAATACAATAATAATTCTTAAATTAAGTTGATCTTTGAGGTGAAATAATGTCATCTCATGTTAATACATTGCTGTTTTTAAGAAAAATATTTTTTTTAGTAGTAGAAAAATGAGTTGTTATGGTGGGGATTTCATGTAGTGTAAACAAAAAGGAGATTTTGTGCGGTGTAAGCAGAACAGCATGTACAAGCCCCAAAAAGTAAATCGCTTGCTGCAGATGTTGTTTCAGTAGGTAGAAAGTAACCTTCCATTGCTTCAATAACTGTAATTTAAGTATAAGAATTGAGCCTTAAATGCAGCTGATCGAGGTCAGTCGCATGTCAGCCTTGAGAAAATAGAGTCAAGTGTCGGGAGAGGATGAGCTCACTGAGGTATTCTAGTAATGCTCCAGCTGATTCTCCTCTGCACAAGGGACACCATAATTTAATTTCAGATATATAGCAGACCTATTTACAGAAACATGCATTGACCCCCTTTCTCTGTGTATTTTTAATGGACCAGTGTGTAGGATTTAGTGGCATCTAGTGGTTGTTGAAACACAGCTCGTATCTGTATTTGACGACCTGGGAATGAGAACCTGCTGCGAAGTCTGTAGGAGAACTACAGTGACCGCAAAAGTTGCAAAAAAAACAAAAGGTAAAAAAGTAAAATTGTTACAGTAGTTTTATGGTTATTTGAATTCCTCTTCCAGATGGAGCAGTCGCCGGAAGCCATGACAGAGAGGTAAGCCTGGTCCTCGAGAGCTCCACCACCGTCCCTCTACATCACCGTCTCACCCTTCAATACCTCCTTACACACCTGGCAAAGGTCACCCAGGCACAGGCCAGCAATGGCCTGGACACACACACGCTGGGACAGATCTTTGGACCACTGCTGATATGGACAGGCCCCTCGACCCCTTGGTAAGCTTTGGTTGATTGATATTTTATACAGAATTTTAACAGATGTTAAGATGAGTTTAGATGAGTTAAGTTGAATAATTGGGCAAATTGGATTTGTTCTGTGAAGCATTAGGCTGCTCAAGTAATTCAAAATGTAGAGCTTAACTTTATGAAATGTGTTAAACTGTCCACTGATTGATTGGCAGGGTATCACTGGATGAGGAGTTCCCTGGTCTTGTGGTGGAGAGGCTGCTGATAGAGAGAGCTACGGAGCAGGACCTCCCTCCTCCAGGTATATTGTTTTTAAAAAGGCTGCTTAGAACTGTGTTTATGTTGTAGTACAGCACAAAGACATTTTAGCAGTTTCCAGGGTGTTAATGCATGATGTGACTGTTCAAACACATTCCTTTAAGTATAAAATGCTTCTAATGGTGGTCTTTGTGTATTTATATGTGTGTCTGTATCTGTTCCCAGTTCTTCCAGCAAAGCCAGTCAAGACTAAAATGGCACCATCAGCCATGACAGACACAAGCGGCCTGCTGGCTGATGCTGAGTGGTACTGGGGAGAAATCTCCAGGTAATGAAAATAGACTCTTACTGTTGAATTTAATCAAAGTTGAAAAACTATGTTTTCATTTATTTCACGTATTAGTTAAAAGATGCCATTGACATAAGCATAAAGTCAGCAGTTGTGTAAATGGGAGTAAATTTGTCTTATTAATTACAGCTTCCAGAAATCATTGTTCCTTATTTTACCCATTTGTGATTAAGGAAATTATTTTATTATTCTGCTGTTAAATTGAAGCTGATCACAGTTAGCGTTCATGAAGTAAATACTGCATGTGATCGTATTTGCAGAGAGGAAGTGAATGAGAAGCTGCGAGACACTCCAGATGGCACTTTTCTGGTCCGAGATGCCTCCAGTAAACTGGAGGGCGAGTACACTCTCACCCTGAGGTAAAGCAACACTTCTGGTTTAAGGTTTTTGGTGGAACATCTGCAGCACTGACATCCTGTCCTCTGCACCAGTTTGAAACAGATTTTATTCAATTGAATAGATACTATAGATGGATATAAGAGAATGACCATGTACAGCCACACGTCCTCTTATTTTCTTTTTTTTTTCCATTTGTCTCCCCCTGCAGGAAAGGGGGGAACAACAAGCTTATAAAGATTTACCACCGAGATGGGAGGTACGGCTTCTCAGAGCCTCTTACCTTCCTGTTTGTAGTGGAGCTCATCAATCACTACCGCCACGAGTCCCTGGCCCAGTACAACGCCAAACTGGACACCAAGCTTCTGTACCCTGTGTCCAAATACCAACAGGTCAGTGAGATTATGTAGCAGAGGATTGTTGTCTTCAAATTCAAACAAAGTTTCCTTAAGCAACATTAATATCATTATTTTTTAGGAATAACAATAAGTTTGGCCAGCTTGAATTGTGGTTCTTTGTTGTTTGTTTATTGTCCATCATTTGTCGTTTTTGCTCTCATCTGTATTTTCCTCTGCTCAGTTGGTGAAGGAGAACAGTATAGAGGAGGTGGGAGAGCAGTTGAAAGTCTATCACGAGCAGTACCAGGAGAAGAGCCGCGAGTACGACTCTCTGTATGAGGAGTACACACGCACCTCACAGGTATGAGTTAAACACACAGAGGCACACAAACACTGTCCCTCTCACATAATCTAGAAGATAAGATGAAACAATAATTATTCTACATTTGAAATCTGGTTATAGATCTAGCAAATGCAGTAATATTTGAAAATTAGAATATAAATGAGAATATAGTTAATATAGTAGTAATATAACCCTGCATATATAACTTTCTTATTAAAATATCTTCAAAACATTACATGAAATATTAATAAAAAAGACCAGATTACATTGTGAATGTGTTCAGAACACCATTAAAAAATAATAAATATATAAAAATACATAAAATAAATTAAAATACATAAAGCATTAAGTAAATTCATATTAATATGTCTGCAGTATACAGTCTGACCTTATATGAATGTGAAGGTATGAATTTAAAGCATATATATGTGTGTATATTCACATGAATACTAGATGTAGTGTTATGCTGTGTACACAGGCAATGTGAAAGAAACCAAATATTTGGTTAACACAGTATGTCTTATACCTCTTTGTTACCTTTTTATATTACACAACAGTAGATTGACTTAACCAGAGTTTTATTTTAACATGAAGGTAGAAGGTAGAAGACCAGATTTGTGTGATATTAAAAAGCTACAGACTAAATGAAATACAATAAAACATTGAATGGACAGTCACAGTCAGTCTCTCTGGCCCTCTTTTCCACAGGAGCTGCAGATGAAGCGCACAGCCATCGAAGCCTTCAATGAGACCATCAAGATCTTTGAGGAGCAGTGTGAGACTCAGGAGCGTTACAGCAGAGAGTCTTTGGAGCGATTCCAACGCGAAGGCAACGAAAAAGAGATTCAAAAGTACATTTATGTTTGTGTACATGAGATCTTTAACAATCTTGGTTGAATTCAACTGCAAAAGCAAGACATACATTCAAAGCAGGCAGATGCAACAGTTTGAGTTTGTTTTACTGACTCATCAAATAGGACTAAGCTGCTAAATTGGAATGGCATTTTGTCACATTTTTCATACACATTCATAGCTATAATTTTGTCATTCTTTCAAATCAGGATTCAGAGCAACTCTGAGCGTCTGAAGTCTCGTGTGAAGGAGATCCACGACAGCAAGTGTAAGCTGGAGCAGGACCTGAAAGAGCAGGTCTCTGATAACAGAGAGATTGACAAGAAGATGAACAGCCTCAAGCCGGATCTCATGCAGCTCCGCAAAATCAGAGACCAGTACTTGATGTAAGGAGAATCCATTGAAGATTTACTTTTCTCTGTGTTTTGATTATGAGAATATGTATTGAATGTAAATTGGTAAATTGTCCGCATTAAATCTTTGCAGATGGCTGACACAGAAGGGGACACGGCAGAAGAAGATCAATGAATGGCTGGGTATAAAGAATGATGTTGATGAGTAAGTGTTTGAGATAACTCTGTAACCTGTATTTTAGGCAGTGGTTGGAGCTCCATGTTTCGTTCTTGACATATGATCAAGTGTCTGCTGCTTTATTTCTGTGTTTCCAGTTCCTACTCACTGGAGGAGGACGAGGGCTCACCCCACCATGATGAGTGTACCTGGTATGTGGGTGACATCAAACGCACCCAGGCTGAGGAAATGCTGAGAGGCAAATGTGACGGGACCTTCCTCATCCGTGAGAGCCAGTCACAGAAGGGCTCTTACGCCTGTTCTGTAGTGTAAGTTTTGCTTGTGCTTGTTTATTTTTTAGTGTGATGATGCTGGTGAGAGCTGAGACAGTTGTAGCACCTTAACACACAGTTTTGAGATTAAGAGTAATCAATATTTGTATAATAACAAATGACATTGTGAAAACAATGTGACAATATGGTCACTGAATCTGCAGCTTCTCTCAGCTTATGAAAAATCTGTATTCTCTTTACACTGACAATTTAAGTAGATATAAATGTAAATATATTATAAAGTAATGTATATATTGTAACATTGTACTTTGAGGACAATTTAGAGCATCTGTAAAAATGATCTCTGTCCTTCTTTCCAGTGTGGAGGGTGACACCAAGCACTGCGTCATCTACAAGACAGCCACAGGTTACGGATTTGCTGAGCCCTACAATCTGTACTCGTCCCTCAAAGACCTGGTGCTCCACTACAAAAACGTCTCCTTGGTCCAACACAACGACCAGCTGAATGTAAATCTTGCCTACCCAGTCCTGGCCCGCTCTCAGAACCAGAACCAGCACCCCAGATGAATTATCCACCAGCAGTGTAGGACGCCAACCAGGGTGGGGAAACAGATTTTCACTTAAATGCATTGGGGAAAGAATAAACCTCTGAACCATGCTTGTTCTTGTTTTAAGTGGCGATTAAAAAAATAGACTCAACAGCCACATTTTTAATTGCATACTTTTTTGGCTGGAGGCTGGTGCTAATTTCCAACAGACCCCAGTCCAGCAAAGAGCACTCCTTGCTAACAGCATGGCTTCAAAATAAGCACACTACTACAAGTAACGAAGCATTGTACAGTTAGCCTGGCTGTCGCAGTGAGTTTTAACTTGGAGGAGAGTTTCGCATTAGCCAGCCATGACTCTACAGTGTCAGTTATGGAAAAAAAGTGTGAGAAATTCACAATTCATACAGCGAAAAAGAGAGACTAAATGTGTTAAAAGAAGACAAAATAAGCACACAAAAATGTTGTTTTCAAGATCGTGGAGGAGAGCAACCAGATGGGATTATGGGAAAGTTTATAGGAGACACTTTTGTTTTTTCGCCTTGAACACGTGATAACTGTCCATAGACAAAGGCCCGATCTGTCATCCCCAGACTGCCTGCAAACTCTCCATCGACAAAAGCCTGAGCTGTCATCCACTGGCAGGACTGGCTTGGCTAAACCAGGCTGCTCGCTTCACACCTAAAGGCGGCTGAGAAACCGTGGACCAGGGGGGTGTAGTCACTGGAGCCGGTGGGGGGGGGGGGGATGTGGGAGGGAAGGGGGAGAGAAATTGCTGGGGTTGATGTTTTTTAGGGGTTTTAAAAAGAGTGATTGAATTTTAAAGCTTGCTTAAGTGCCATAGTAATAGCTTTGAATGACCACAAGCCTGTGTCATTAGAACAAGGGGGCACGTCGAGGTTGAAAGAAGGAAGGAGGGAATGAGCGGCTGTCGACGTAGACGAAGCTACAGCTTTAAAAGATACACACACATAGGTATATTTTTTATGAAATGATCTTTATTTCCAACTGCTTTGGTGTGTTGCTCTCTCTCAGTGGGCCTCCTTTTCAATTAACGAGGTACAAAACACAGTAAAAACTGTATTACAGGATAGAAATGCATGGTACATATTTGGTATATTGTGGATAGAGAATTAGTTCTTAACCACAATACACTAGATGGAGAGGTACATTGATGAATGCAGTTCCACATGATTCAGGTTTCCTTCTTAATGGAAATTGTGGAAAGATTCCTGCATCAAACGTCTCTTTTTTTCAAACTTCTTCCTTCTTTTTTCATCCTCTTTAATACTGTAGCCCCTGTAGCCATTGACTTAAGGCATAACTGTTAGTGCTCCTCTTATGTGTCTTGTTTCTATATGCTTAAGACACTTGCAGAGCATCAATCTATGTGATTATTGTATCTTTGGTACTGTATTTGCCTCGTCTCTAGATTAGACTGTTTTAGCGGTACAATGTCCTTGCAGATGTTTATTGTTGTTTTTTTTCATTCAGATTTACCCGCGGTACTTACGGCTTCCCGCCCTTGCGCTTGACTGTTCATTTCATCACAACCTTGACTCACAGAGCTGTAGAATATTGATGTACAAAAAAAGGAAAGCAGTAATATAACTCATGTACAGTATATTTCAGACACACATGCAGTCAGTGTATGTGACTTTATACAGTTTCATTGCTGTGTGTCTTTATGTTTTCAGTATATTTGCTATGCTCTTAGATTCTGTTTAAGGATTAACAGTATCCAGCTAATGTGAGCCGAATGAAGGATGTCTTTTCATGTAGCAAGAAAGAAAAGAAAAAAAAGAACCAGTCCTTTTGCCATATTGCATGGCCTCTGCGGTCTGAGAGATTAACTAGTACAGTGTGCATGGAGTCCTTCATTTGGGTTGTTGTTTTTCTTTTTTCACTTGGCACCAGTGGTTGATAATTGTACTTTTTGTAGTTCATATACAATATGATGTGTGATAGTATGGTACTATGCACAACACGTATGTGGATATTAAGTTTTAGATTTATAGACAGAGTTGTTCGATCAGTTCTCTCCCTCTGTTCTGTGCTGTGGCAGTGAATTTCTCCCTGTTTACCTCATGTTCATGTGGCTAGAGGTAAAGATTGTACCATCTTTGTTCACTTTAAAAGCACAGTTCATTTGTCTAGAGGCGTGGTTATTCAGTTATTCTTGTGTGGTCGATGAAAAAGATAATAGGCATCAAGTTAGGGGTGGGCGATGTGGCCAAAACCATCAGTTGCGTTATGTGTCATTTATATCACAGTAACTATATATCACGGTACATTAATTGTTCTCTTAACTCAATTAAGAAATGGTTTTAAGAAACCATACTCTACTTCTTCACGTCATTATTTTTTTTTATTCCATACAAACAAACACAACTGTCTCACACGATAAACAATAGTTGAGTCTTGTCTCTCTCTTTCTCTGCAGTGTTTGGTAAACCAGCTTACAGGTGCATTACAGCCTCTACCTGTCGTTATCAAGCCATGGGAGGAAGTGGCAAGCAGTCCTGATGCTGATAGCCTGCCCCCAATATATAACAGAGACACTAAGGGATAACTCCCACAGTGGAAACGGTATTGCCAAATCTCCACTGGTGGACACATGTATACCGTTGCATGGCGTATACCATCATATCACTCAACCCTACGTCCCATGATGCCTCTTTTAAATTTCATTGGAATTTTACATAGTTGATTTCTTGAGAATGAATGAATATGAATAATCTCTTAAATGTCTCACATATAATAGATAAAAATCAGTGTTAATAGAACCTTTTATAAGAAAGGTGCACTGTTTTTAAAGGTGGCACATTTGGCATTTTTGTTGAGGAGGGATAGAAATTGAAGTTTTGTTTTAAAATGAGATATTCACCTACTCTTCTGATTATGAAAGTCAGTTATGAGTCAATATAAAACCGATTTTTCATCTGAAGACATAAGCTTCCAGAAGTGCTTTTTGGTGTAGCGTAATTTCTGCTTTTGAAATGTTGACTCACAAATTTCAGGTTGCAACATCCAAACAGACCAATCCCATTTCAAAGTGAAACCCCACTTGGCCTGAAAAGTTTAAATCAAGACGTTAGTTTGATTTCAGTCAGGACTAATCAACTGTACTGTACTTTGCACAGTTCTTGGCACGTAGAAAATCCCAAGAATTAAACTAGAGGTGATGGCGGTGCTTCTGATTAGAGGGCTATAAAACATGTGAGTGAGAAAGATTAGAAGTGCCTTTAGTCATTGTGATGAGCTCGTCTTCTCCTCGTTGTCATTGGAGCTTTGCTCTACAAGACGGTGCCACCACCACCATATGCTGTGCCCCATGGTTCACACATTTGCCATTTATCAAAGACTAAAAGGGTATTTGGCAAATGAGCATAATTGTTGTGTGTGATTGTGTGTGTCTGCGTGTGTGTTTGTTTGTGTGTCTTTATGTGTGTTAGAGCAAATCTGAGCATGTTATAGATAAGAGAGTGACAGATTTTAGCTGTGCCTCTTTGTTGTTACATCTATAGTTGTTACATATTCCTTCTTGCTATGGTGGGGGCTGTACAGTAGCTTGGTGCTCTCTCTCACTGTGCACCAAAGCTAGATTTCTTTGGTGTTTTATCTTTTTCTTTATTTGTCTGGTATATTTTTGAATAAAACTCAGATAAGATAGAAATGTGAACCGTACACATCCGTGGCCCAGCCCAGTTGTTCGAAGCTCATTTGATAAGCTCTCAAGTTAATGCATGCAGCATTTCTCAGTGTTTTGTATTAAGAGTCAGTTCCTTTGTGAACAGGCGATCTGGTTGAGTCATCCGCCACTGCTGACACATCCTTTATCCAGTTTGTTGGACCAACACTTTTTGTGACTGCACTTTTTTTCTGTTCCACACACTCAGAGCAGTGTGTCTAACTCCCAACAACCATAAACTCACAAACAGTTGTGAAACTCAGTTGTCAATAGTGTTTTTAGTTGATAGTTTTAAGGTCTTTCCATACAGTATATCAGGAGTGATTGACATTTTTCTTTATAATACAGTGTATAGTAAATGCTTTTGTTCTTTTTGCAGTCGACAACTGTCATGTAATTCTGATGCTTTTGACTGATTGCAATGTTTTCATTATAGAGTTAGTTTAACTATATGGACTGTTTAAACTCTGTAATACTTCTCAAAACAACTTTAAGGAGAGCTGCTGGGTCATTATGCAGTTTGTGCCCACGCAGCAAAATTGTCCAACTTAACGAGACAAATAATTTAAAAATTATATTTCTAAAGCATCAGTCCATCCAAATTACCTAAAGACATTTTTTTTTCAATTACTGCTAGTGGTATCTAAACATGCAGATAGGTGAGATTTTAAGATGTCAAAATCTTTCATTTTCCTAAGAAAACGGTTCACAGTGAGGTCTGTGGATTATCCAGAACAACCAAACCATTGTGGCTGGAATATATTGCTGTTGATTGTGTGGCGTTTCATATATGGATATCTCAAAAGCTCAGCACATGAAAGTTAAATTAAATGCATGGCTAGATATTGCTGTAGTGAAAGTGAAAACTTGTGTCTGGGTTTTTTGGGGGAATTTGAGTAAACCAACCATTTATAAACACGTCTGGAAAAATCAGGCCAATGGAATGAGATAATTGCAGTTTATCCCAAAACAGTTCCTGAACCAGGAGGTTCTGCTTCCATGTAAGAAATGTTTTTATTTGCTTAAAGGAAAATAGAGATGTAGAACTGAATAGCTTCCTGCATCACTTGTTAAGATGAACATTTTTGCATTGTAGGTGAACACTTTCATCTGCCATATATGCATACAGATGTTTAATAGCTAGAAGCAATGCAATTTAGTAGCAATGAAACCTGGTCACGCAGTGAGACGGGCATGAAACGGGCAGAAGATGAAGACTTTATTGCGCTTTGACTTAGAGTTGAGACTTTAATCCCACTTTTGGTAGATGTTACTCTGAAACTCAAAGTTTTCATCCTGCTCGTCTATTAGATATGCATTTGTGTCGGAGCTTCTAGAAAAACATTTTTCTATATAAAAAATGATCGTTCAAGGAATGAAATATTTTTTCATCAGCTTTGGTACACTGTAAATGATATTTCTTGAACTGGCCTCACACACAAAGCACATCTTTCACTGACTACAAAGAAACGCATATATTTGGTGTCTATTAAGGTTTGAAGAATAAGAGACATACTAGAGAATAAATATTTTGAAATATATACTTAGATAACTATATTTTTGGATGATGTAATTCTGATTTGGATTGTGCTTGAAACAAATCAGAAGGAGGCTTTGATGTGAACATGATCTTTAGACTTGCTCCACAACTGCTTTGTACCCGAGCGGTTATTGAAACGCAAGCATTTTTACTAATCAGCTGCAGTGAGCTTCATCGTGATCAGCAACAAACTTTGTGGTTACAGTTGATCGACATACATGTAATCTATTACGCATGATTATCAGGTGCATTCAGAGGATGAAGCAAGCTTATGTACATGTGTTAATATTTACAGAGCTGAGTCTATATGTTAAATGCAGTCTTGGCTGCTTTGCAATTATTAAATATTAGAGAGGAGTTGTTTTGTTTTTTTGTTGTTTTTTTTCTGTTTTGTCATTTTGAAAGATTATGTTGTTTTTTTTGTGAGTAGACTTGAGTGTTAAAGTTGCACCACAAAAGATACACTTAGGATGCTGCCACAGAGATCCACCACAGATTGGACACTGATGCTGGAACAAAGTGAACCATCTTACCACTGTATCGTCCTTTGGTAGATCTCTGTGGTCGCTGAAGGGTTTTTTTTTTGGTTTGTTTTCTTTTTGGCCTGAGCGTACACACACAGGCAGGGAAAAAAAAGAGGAAAACCTGTTATCCTGACAGAGAAAAAAAGGTACACAATACAACGGTTCATGATCACTCCTTTACGCAGATCTTTGTACATGGAACAATGATGGCATTAGAAAGTGTTCTTTTATGGTGCCTGAGTATTTCTTTTTATTTGGCTTTTTAAAAAAGCTAATAGATTTTGTCTGTCCATGTGTTGGTTATTTTTGTTTGTTTGTTTATATCTGTTAATGATAACCTTACAGAGCCTATAAAGAAAAAAATAAGCTAGCTTGAAATTTTTTCCTCCATACAGAAAAAAGAAATACAAATGTTTACAATATGTAATTAACCAAATAGTAAATATGCGTTTGAGAATCAATCTGTCTGTCCCGCAAAGTGACTGTGATAGATTGATTTATATTTCATTATTTCCTGTCATTTTAAACTTGAAAATGTTATGACTGCTTGTTCTGTTTTCTCTGTTTCCGTTTGTTCCTCTTTTTTTTTACTTATGAGAACAGTGCTCCCTCAATTTCAAAATAATAACTCAACAAGATTTATTTTTCCATAATGCGCAGGTATTCATCAGTCTTTGTCATTATTTACCTGCTGACTACTTCACCTTACACTGAGCCTTGTATATGCAGGACTGAATCCTAACTTGAGATGCTGTCGCATCTTTTGCTGTTTATATTATGTACAGTATGGTAGATTTCAGTGTGGCTCTGCCATGTGTTTCTCTGGTAAAGACTCAAAGAATTTATAGGGGGTGACACCCACATGTTGTGAAACAGTAAAAATACGCCACTTGGTGAACATGCTTGAGTACAGTTTTAGTTGGAAATTCAGGAATAACTATCAAGAGGCATCCTATTCTTGATTTTTGCACTACACAGCAAATAATACACAAATGAAAAGCTGAATCAGTTGCTCTGTTGGTTGGTTGACTAAGTTTTAGGACTAAAATGTATCCACTATAGTCTCAGCTTGTGTGTGTGTGATTTCCATTTAATATATGATGACTAGTTCAAAACTGAACTTTCATTTCCCTCTGTCTTCTCACATCATCACATCTTAGTCTGGACTTTGACCTGATTGGTCAAGTTGCCATTTGTTGGATTATTCTGATGGGAATGTTGTAATATTTTTCACTGGTGTACAGTAGTTCATATTCAAGACCCAACCCTGCACGTTGGAGACAAGATCAGCAGTGATCCATTGGGCAGTGGCCGGGGCAACCATTTAAAACACCTCTGCGTGTTTGTACACTAATAACAAGGCAACGTCTTGTCTCCTTTGCTCTACTATGTTGCCCAACAAGCTGCCTAATGTATCCCTGCCTCTGCAGAAGTAACAGATATACAGTTCTTAATGCGTAGTAAATGATGTGGTTTTCTCTTTTCTTTCAAAAACAATGAATGGAAATGAATGGGGCAGTCAGATAAAGCTACTATACACCAAAGTGCAATTGAACTCAGAGGGAGCACTGTTGTTTCAGCCAGTAGAGGCCTATTGGTTGAGATGTGCCCAACCCCTATGCACGAAAAAAGATGGTTATTCTTCTTCTCTTGTGTTATCCTCCCTCCGTTGGTCTGTCTTAATTCAGATGCAACATTTCTTTCTTTTCTCTCATGTACAGCTTGCTTCAGAGTTGTGTTTGTCCTCAGACAGGTACTCTTCCATCTGTACGGTTCTTTCTTTAGGCTGATGCAATGATTTTAAAAAGACAATAAAAGATATATGAAATGAAGTTCACTGCTGTCTGGTTTTGTGTTGATGTCTTCTGTTTTTTTCTTTGCCTCGTAATGATGAACCAAGGTAATACTTCATTTGGATAGTCTGCCTACAGATCTATACAGTAACAGTACATTTCAACAGCTTACTAGTTGAGATTCAACAGCTGTTTTATGATATCACACCACTGCACATCTGGGTTAGGATATGTTCATGAATTGTCACACACCCTTTAGATACCATGTTAAACATCTACAGACAAGGTGACACAGCTGAAATGTTACCTGAGCCAACCATCACCTTGTGACACTTCCATATACTCATGTATTTTTTATACTTTGGATGATTTTGCTGGGCTTAAACATGACAGCATCCCTCATTTGTAGCACTCACTGAAAGGTGTTTTGTTATTTTAAAATGTATCTATATATGAGTGTATCATTTACAATTTACAAAAAAAGAGGTATTGCCTTTGTCCTTTGGTCATCCATTTAAAGAAGTTGACATTTCTTTGTATCGGACACACACACACACACACACACACACAATGACGCACGTCTGCTCGCTCCACTAACAAAAGTGCCCACACACACGTAAGCGACGCACCAAGAAGGCAGTGGAGAATACTTCCAGCAAGCACAGATGTAAACAATGCAGGATTTAAAATATTTGAAATATTTTTTTGCACGTTACATGAGGACGGAAATGCATTCAACACGTATACTAGACCTCAAGCACTTTTGTTTGCTTACTAGAGAACTAGTTTTTTTTTTTTTTTTAATCCTTGCCTCACTTCCCTTTACCGGTGAACCTTTTTCTGTGGTGGAAAACTATTCACTGTCTTTGATATGTAACCAGAGAAACTTGAACTTCTGAACACTTTTGCAGAAAGAAAAATATGCTTTAATGCTATGAGAACCCCAAGTGAATTGAAATGCCATTCACTTCCATTATGTCACGATACAGAAACCTCAAGGAAGTGAGAAAGTGAGAATGTTTGTTATTGAGTGAACTGACACTTCCTGATAACCCACAATGCCACACACCACAAATATAACAGCATTTGAATGACTACTGTACTGTACTGTACTGTACTGTACAAACAAACTGTAAAAAATAAATTCTCAGTTTAAATATGATGCTTTAGTTTAATCTGTAACTGAGGGAAGCAGACAAACAAACAGAGTGAATCATGCAGTGTTGTGCTGTGGCCTATTTGTTTTGCCTCTGTCCTGGTTTTAAGAGGAAAGCCCTGAGAGATCATGTGAGAGTCACCAGGTAAAACCTTTTACAGCGTTCAAGGGTTTTTGCGATGTTTTGCTGCAGAGTGGGTTTCTTGTGACTCTTCTTGAGCAAGACAGTATATAATTAGCTAGACCTATGGACTGAGGAACTGTGCTGAGACATGCAATCGCTTTATAATTAGTCAGATGATGTGTCCAAATCATGCCAACTAACTAACACAAGACAAGCAGAACACGCCGTGTGAACTGATCACAGGACTGCAACTCATCATAGAAACATTTCCTAATTTTTCTTTATCTGTGCAGGAACAGAGCCTCCTACATACAATACATGACATTTGACGAGTTGTGGTTACACACCAAAGTCAAATTAGCTTCCTCTGGATTTGCAGAATACACTTTATCCAGTCATTTAAGCAATGCAAATCATAGCACACAGTAGTGCAAAATCAATGCATGTTTTCAAATTAGTTCACCTTTATGATAAAATGAATAACTCATATCTAAAGTCTTTACACAGTTTTTTTCCAGTGCATCCCAAGACTTGTGAAACAGTGGTTGTGTATTGTTTGTATATCACTTTTTATTTTTTTCTCCGAGAGACCAGGTGGATTGCTAATAAAAGCACTGACATCTAAATTAAACTAAAAACTTAAAGGTGTGGAAAATCTGCATGCAAATCTGCAAACCCACGTCCACACACACATCCCCGTGACATTTTGACTCATTTCTGTGGAAATAGGTGCCCCACAAACAGCAGAAGCGAGGTCTAGTACTCTCCTAGCTACAAGTGACGCTGCGTTGGTCATATGATCGAGAGCCAATCAAAAAAAAGGTAGCCTCCGCGAGGAAGCGTCGGTGCCGTATTTAAAGTTTCACGGTGCAGTAGTTTGTAGGTCAATGTTGTATCGGTGCTGTGTCTGTGTTGTGTGTTAAACTTGAACCTTACGCTGCGACCGAAGATGAAGGCTCCTCTGCTGCTCATTCTGGCTGTTTGGTTGCACACTCAGTCCGGCGGTTGCGCTCTCTCCTCCTGCACTGTCCCTCCATCAAAGTGGTGCTCATCTCTGGACTCAGCTCTGCAGTGCGGGGTAAGATTATCGATGTATCCGGAGAGCGTGTTAAAATATTATCGTATTGTATGACCTCGGAAAATGTTGTTTCTGAATAGCTGGCGTCTGTTAAAGTCACAGGACACTTCTTATTTAACGTTAACTATTTAACGGGTCAACAGTTTAAACACCGTTCTAAACCACAACGCTCGATAGAACCGATGGAAACTATAGCAACAGTACTCAGCCTCACGCTACGGCACCCGGTTAACGTTCATTTTACTAGCTAGCTATCGTTAGCTAATGTTAGCTAACTTCTTTCGCTGCTGAAACTAACTACACACTTCTCTGCACGAATGGTGCTACTGAACACGGTTTTTCTTTGAGCCTGTTGTAAGTAAACTTGGTACAAATAATAACATAAAAACACTTAGAGGAGTCCATACACAAAGAAGGAAGAAAGAAGAAGCTGGTTTTGTTTTTTGTTTTTTTAGCAGGGACTACCCGGTCAGCTATGGAACAATTGAGCGAAGAAGGAAGTAAACGCTTAAATGTAAATGTTGTTCACTGTGCCAGTTAACGTTACATTCTTTGTACAGTCCCCTTATCCCTGGCTGCCTCTAGCTCAGAGTTACAGAGAGATGTAAAACTAAACGCACATCCTTCTGTGTTGTATCGGTTTCATACAGGATAGTGTCTCAGGCTAAAACGAACCAACTTTCATACAGTCAAAAAAAAAAAACCTTCCTTGCTCAGTTGCTTTTTTTAAATTTTAAGAACAGCTGATTTTTGTGGCAGTGATTTATTTACTGATATAACAGTAGAAGGGTAACCTCTTAAGTGAATTTCAGAAACTATAAAAAATGTTAGCACTGACCTTTTTAAGCTGTCCTTATATTGCCACCAAATGGAAAATGCAAAAGCACACACTCACTCAGAAACAGATTGATCATGACATAAAAGTTAACTTCCCCATTTTTGCCCCCTTGTGCAGGTTTTGAAGCAGTGCCTTCAGTCTAACTTCACCAGGTCCCGTCAGACTGCAGATACAGTCAAGGTGGGGCTTTACTATGAGAGTCTGTGTCCCGGCTGCAGAAACTTTCTCAGTGGCATGCTCTTCCCCACCTTCGTCTTGCTGAATGATATCATGTCTGTTGAGCTGGTGCCCTACGGCAATGCACAGGTAAGCAGTGAATGAAGCACCTTGGGTATACACTGGAATCATAGTTCCATAGTATGAGCTGTATTAATCTACAGAGGGAGCAGATCCTCTTCTACAGAGTCCATCATATTGAATTGCCATGTTTCTACAGTAACCCAGAATGGCCAAACCAAACACTGGTCCTAGATATGGGCTTCTGCTTTTTTCACAGCCACCATAATTTCTCTTTTTGTGCTTGGTTCAGTCAGGAGGATTCAGTTGATTTACAATTTTCAATCTCACCACTAGATGCCACTAAATCCCACGCACTGGTCCTTTTTAAAAAGATCCTGTATAAGTTTGTTATGAGACAGGGACAGGACAATGGAAATCTATACAAGGAAAAAGTCTATGTAAAACCAACATAAAAAAACAAAAATAAATCAACTAAACATGATTATCCAAGACTGGATTAGCCTTCATGTAAAATATGTTGTAATCTTGGTGACTTAATTACACCTTGTTTCTGTTTTTTGTTTTTTTTAACTTGTGAATTTCTCCCACCCCAGGAGAAACCTGTTGGACAGAAGTATACTTACGAGTGCCAACATGGAGAACAGGAATGTCTAGGTAACATGATTGAGGTAAAGTCATAACCCAAATGCACGGATAAAGAAAACTGCAGAATAATCCTGTTAACAGTTTGGAACCATGTAATCCGTATTGGTTTAGTAACTGTGTTGATTCTTGTAAATCTGGATGTTGTGAAAGCACTATAATTGCTCAGACAAATGTTCAGCCTTCAGGCTTAATTTTTATTATTCTAAGTTAAAAATTGTCATTATTGTCTTTTACTAAAATCACACTGCTGACTGTAATTTATTTCCCTGTTCCCCTCAGACTTGTTTAATGGACATGACAGACATGGCTTTCCTGGTCATCTTCTGTATGGAATCCTCCAGTGATGTCATCAAGTCAGCCCAGAAGGTAAGGAACACACACACACACACACACACACACACGCTTCTCTGCGCCATCCTTTCGGTCACTGCCACCACCAAATTATTATTCATTGTTTCACTTACTGAAGTTGATGTGTGTTTATTTCTCTCCATTGTTGTTTGCAGTGTGTGGAAATCTACACCCCTGAATTGAACTGGGACAACGTCATGGGCTGTGTGAAGGGGGACAAGGGAAACCAGTTGATGCATCAGAATGCCTTGAAGACCCAAGCACTGAAACCTCCACATCAATATGTGCCCTGGGTGACCATTAATGGGGTAAGGCTCCAGTGCATTTGGTGGCAAAACCTATGGCCTTTGTGGCATTCTGTGGAGGAAAACAATCATAACTAGGAAATCACTAGAGAAAATAAATCTTCAGGACTGAATAGAGATCATCAGCGTGACTTGGAGGTAGAACACATCTTGACCTGTTTCCAAACCACTTTCTCGGCAGTACCCCTGTTCTTCCACTGCCGTTAATGCTCGCCTTTTAAGCAAATCATGTTACATTTACAGAGATGACATGTTGTTATAATCTTGACCCTTCTTTGAAGCTTCCATCTGTAAATGAAAGAGCTATGGGTCCTTTGTGTGAAGCTACATCTAGATGCATCTCCAAAGCACAGCATGCCAGATACAACAGTCTCTCTCCCAACCAACCTAAGACCAGCAGCATGATAATGTGCCTTGGTAGTCGATTAGTTACAGCACATGTTGCATGGTCACAACCTGACTTTCATTGCATGTCATACTCTTCTCTCCCTCCCCTGTTTTCTGTCTGCCTCTTCAATTGTCATTATCCAATAAAGGCAAAGAAATGGCCCAAAATGTTTTAAGAAACTGGAGAAGAACAAGAAACAAAAAATAAATAAATAAAATAAAATAAAAGCATCAGGCACCAAAGAAGTGATAATCACCATGTGGGGAACTGAAGTTTTATATTTAACTTGGTTTGTTGTATAAGACTTTGAACAGACAAAAAAATGCAGTTTTAAAAAATAATTTAAATTAAAGTTTTAAATTAAGTTTGAATTGAGATTTTGCTATTTAGTCCACTTGTATTTTAATTCTCACTGGTGTTCATGAAAATATTCCCACATTTGCTTACAAACCTCTATGAAGGAAATTGTCATTATGGACTGTGGGAAACTCACAAGCAGCAGTCTTGGCAACAAGGAGGGGGGCCCTGACAAGTGGCCGCAGATTTCTTGACCATTACATCACCATCCAGAAAAATCTTTATATCCAGTAACTTTGATGAAATAATTCATGAAACTCTAACTCCCGTTTATGTTGTGACCTGACGTGGTTATTTCAAAGACCACACTTTTTTTCACATGACACTCCACCCTTGTAGATCTGCAGTGAAAACTAAACTCTGTATTGAGTCTTTTGCCTAAATGCTACTTGTTTCTGTTTGTTGTTAACTTTTTGAGATACTAACTTTTATTTAATTTGCAGGAGCACACAGATGACCTGCAGGACAAGGCCATGTCTTCTCTCTTCACTCTGGTCTGCAGCTTGTACAAGGTAATATCAAACCCGAGTCATTCATTGACTCTGCGTGTTTGCCTTTATTAATTTAACTGTGTTTTACAAAATCACAAGTTACTTTGTTGTTTGCTTAAAATTTGAACTTCAACCTTTTTAACAAGCTCATCATTTTTTCCAGGGCCCCAAGACTGAGGCCTGTGGAGGTGCCCAGAAACACTACAGAAGCTACTGCCACAATAAGTGAAGGAGCAGCACTGCACATGCCTATTAGCTTGCTCTGTTCCAGGTGTGGCCACTAAATAAGAAACACTGAGGAATGTCATCAAATATTTTTTTACTTTATTTTACTATGTGTTTCTATAAAAGGGAAATCTGGTCGCCATACTTTATAATTCACAGAATATAAATACACTGTACATTTTTAAAAAATGTGTCATCATTGATTGTTCTCTACTGATTTCTACATTTTGTAGCATTCTGATTAAATGATAGCATTGTGGTATTTGCAGTGTCCTTTGCAAAGTCTGGTCAAAGACGGTGTTCTCACTGTCCTTTAGATGGCGCCATATCTCATAATCTTTATTTCTGTCCCCTGTTACCAGAGGTAATGAAAGAGAGAAACACAGGAACTGTTAATCATATCATACAACTAGTGCTGGGCAGTATGACCAAAATGTATTTCTCATGTTTGGTTTAAAATGAAATAATATATGATGGAAGCAATGCATGAAACAGTTGCAGATTGGAATCATTCTCCAAACAGTAACATAGTAAAAACAAAACATTTAGTTAGATATGCCAACAGCAGTGCTACCTTTTCAAAAAAAGATTGAAAAAATATAAACACTATAAACAAACATACAACACAACATAAAATCCTCAAAGAATTTAAGTCTTAAAGAGTTATTCCTCAAATCTTCTATTGTACAATAAGAAACACATTGTCGCGTGCCGTGTTGTTTTACTCTGTTAAAGAGAGTTAGTTGTCGGTTATGAATTGTTTTGTAATAAAGTTAAAACCATTAGTAAGAAGGGTATGCAGTCAAGAGCCCCCCCCCCCATACACACTATACAGTTTGCAATGACTAGCTCACGGCAAAAAACTATTGCTGCCTATGAGGTATGGCAGTATATGAAAAATTCATATTTAGTTAAACTGATGTATCGGTTCATCCAGTATATCTGGTATATCATTCAGAAATCTATGCTAAAATAGTTGTTAGCTATATTCGGAACCCATTATACCAGATCATCCCGTTTTACATGGTTGAGTTAATGTTCGGTAACTATTACTATTATTTTTAGTATACTAAATCATTTTATATACAAGGTACAAAAAGCAAAGCAGAGATTATAACTGGAAACAAATGATTTCATGAGTTGCATCACAACATACTTCAACTGTCAGTTAAAAGCAGTACCCCCCCTCCAAAAAATAAAGCTGCATTCATTATGTAGGGTCATACTGAATGTTTAACATGGACTCAAGTCCTATTAAAAATAGTAAATCCATCCAAATGTCGCAAAAAAGTTACATAGAAGGATTTTAGACAGCAGCTTGATGAAAGCCAGAGTCTCGCCTAACCAGAAGGTCAGGATGCATGAGGTCCACTGATTCTACAGTCCGATAGACACACATGAATAATGGCCTGTCATGCAGGCAGTTCCACCAACTCAATCTCACTACCAGCTAACATCTGTAGGCTCCATGTCCTTTCTCACGTCCGCTCCACAGACTAATTCTCACCACTTTCTAAAATATGTTTTGCTTTTAGGTTCAGTTAGTTCACAATAAATGAAAAGGCCTCAACAGAAAGTTAAGACACAAACTCAAAAGTGTGCTAAGAAAGTTGGGCAGTTCATCACTGAACTAATGACAGCTGAGGGTTTATGAAGAGGTGGGGAAATAGTTGTTCTTGACTGAATACAAGGAAGTACTGGTCCAACAGACTACTTCATATCAGATCTTAAATGTGGTATCTGTATCCTCCTCTTTGGTATTTCCTTCCCAGTTGTCTCGTTCCCATGATACAGTAGCTGAAAGTATGAGGAGAAATAACTCATCAAAATTTTTCAACTTCACCGAGGTAAGGGTAATTAATGAACCTGTAAATAATACTGTGTTATTAGATTAAATTTGCATTCTTTCTGTGGCCTAGGGCTTTATATATATATATATATATATATATATATATATATATATATATATATATATATATATATATATATATGTGTGATATATGTTTTTAGAGCTCAAATAAAAACGTTAGCTGGTTAGCTATAATACCAAAAACAAGATGGCTCTTACATTTGGATTATGTAATAACGCTCATGTATTGTTCTATGCTTTTATCCATGCCGAACAGTTGTGGAGAAGATTAATGGAGCCTTATTTGTTAAAATAATCTAATTGCAAGCTCAGATTAATGTCAATAACAAGTCTGTTAACGTTTATTAGATTAAACAGTTGCGGTCTGGGAGCCCTTTCAACTGCCATTTAAATTTACATAAATAACTTACCAGTAATCTTGTGTTTGTTAGAAGAGAAATCAATTTATGACAAAGAGAAAGTCAAAGTATTTTCAGTGAAGTGAAGAAAGTTAACACTGCTCTGAATGTTGATCAACTTGGTCAGAAATGGTCAACAATCAAACCAGAGTGTGTCCTGGCAATTGTTTATAGAAAGGTGGGACTCCTAAGCAGATGGCGAGATAAGGTCACAGGATGCAGCAGAAAACAAGGACTCTTATCTGTTTCCCCTCAACACTGACGCTGAAAGAGATGCCCTAAGAGCTAAAATCCAAACACTATCTTACTGTGAGAACCATCTATTGTGTCCAAGGTGATAGTGTGTGGGTCTCAGGACCTGAAATCAGATAAACATTCCAAAAATAATGCCCGAGTGGGCCTCTTTTTGCGAGGCTCGTCATATTTTCAGAAACAGCACAAAAACAGCCCTGTCTGCAACTTACCTTTAGATCTCAGCGAATGTTGTGATTTTTTACACAACGTCTCTTCAAGAAGTTCAACAGAGGTCAAACTCAGCATTTTATAATTGACTGATTTCTGAGTAGAAGTTCAAGAGTATCTGTGTGTCATTGGCATAGCAGTAAAAGATACACTGTGCTGACATGTGAAATAACTAATCGGAAAAACATGAAGAGAACGTCAGTGGATGGAGGTAGCTGAACTGTGATCACCTAAAAATGTTGAAATTGATCAGTACAAGCCAAACCACTGAGTGTGTAAATGTGAATAGCTTGATGAGGGATTCATTTACGGTCTATGGAGCAGCTAGATTACACACACCTTCAATACCATCACTGGTTTTATTCTCTAGTTTGACATTTACAAGCATCTGCTGTAATAATGTTATCAAATTGACTGAAATGACTGCTGTTTCCTCTCACTGCTCATCTTAGTTTTATCACATTCTGGTCTTTGTTTCTCCTGGCCCGAGCAGAGACAGTGGGATTCGGAGCAGGCCGCGTACATCGAGCCTCCCCAGGACCCCGACGTCAGATGTGCTGTGAAGAGGCTCTTCTCAGGCACCCTGCAGCTGCCCAGGCTGTCCTGCAGACCTTCCACACAGGACAGACCCGACGATGGTCCCCAGTCCGGTCCCGCAGCTCGCAGCATCAAGCCCTCCAGGAGCCTGGGGACTCTGACCAGCTACATCTCCAAGGCCTTGTGAGTCCATGATGGCATGTGCTGTTGGCATTGTATTTCTGCAGCTCCTTTCTGGAGCAACTTTATTTTTCTTCATTCCCCACAAAACTTTGGAATAACTATATAATTTAACCTACTAATAGCTAGGAACTTGTTAGTATACATAGGATTTTTTGTTAATTGTAAAGGTTTCTCTGATCATTTTACTACTTAATTTAGATGTAAAGTCAACCTGGTTGTCCACATTATTAACACTTTTAAACTAAAAGTTATACGCAACTGTTTTTCCTCTCTGCAACCTCACACATTTTCTCAAAATTTTCTTGTATTTGCGGGAGTTTGTTCTTTTTCAAGTTCCCAAACAGTGACTCCAGCATGTTGTGGTCTTGTAAGTCAGCGCACATTCAGGGTAACTTTCCAGCACCATCCTTCAACTCCTTCTCCTGTAAGGTTCTGAGTATTCAGCAGAGCTCGATGATCTTTCCTTTGTTGTCTAACTGCCTAATTTAGATAGAAAAAGTTGACTTGCTTCTTGAGCATATGATCCAACAAAGCGCCCCGCTTAAGGCATTGCTCTCCCCTCTGTGATACTGCTGAACAATTATCACCATGAAAGATCAGATAAACAAGGTTCTTGTGATTGTTTCCACAACAACATTCAGGGGGCTGCTCCAAACACATCTGTAGCGTTTATGTGTGTGTGTGTGTGTGTGTGTGTGTATGTATGTTTCGGCATCTCTGTTCTTTTTTTCACACGTCGCAGGAATGCAGACAGACCTGTTTGATTACGTAGGTAGTTGTAGTGCATGACATAGGTGATCAGATCGAGACTTAGAACAAAGACACTTTGTACCATTGATGTTTTCTATTTTATAGCTAACAAACCTTCATTGTGGCATTAATTAGCAACACAACACAGGCATCCTTTAATTTGACTAAAACCGTTCACAGCATAAAGCATATTTTCTGAAGTTGACTTATTATTTTTTTAATTTATGAATTTAAATTTCTAAAATACCAGTTGGTTCAAATAGATGAACACGAGTTGAACTTTTTTTTTAACAAGACAAATATACACAAATAAGTGTTGCATTTGCCTGGCACTAAATCATCTCCTGTGGTACACAGCAACACATAATTCTCTCAGATGATAGCCTGAGAGAGAAACATTCAGAATTTACCAGGAAGACATTAAAATTGCTAGAAATAAATGGTGTATTTTAATGGAGGTCAGTGATAACATATTTATTTAATCACGTGTTTAAACATGCCTTCACACTCTTTTAATATATAGGTAAACTGTGTTTCTGAAACCAGCCAACTACCATTCTGTTTAGGAGAGTGCCGTACACAGTCAACATGCATGCAGATTCTTCACATTGAATGAGCCATGCTCTAAACTCTACAGATGAGGCACTGGAAAATAGGTTCATATGTTGTGATGATTGGGCTATATTTATTCCATTAGTGTTTATATACCAGCAGGTATAAAGCAACACTGCCATAGATGTGCCTCCTATAATATTGATGGACTAAAAAGCCTTTCATTGTGTTCCTTCTCTGTGCGAAGAGGGCCATGTGCTCACCTGTTTACAAGTTGGTAGTGCAATTTTGATGCAGCGCCAGAGAAATTGTTTATGGAGTAGCATTTAAAGCTACAGGGTGGTTAAAAAGTGACCAAATTTAACTCAGTTATTTTATTATGATATCACTAATTTGATATCATTATACATCTATCACAGTTAAAGTATTAAACTTGCAATAGCTGTCTCTAATATAGTCATGTGATGCAGGCTGACTACAGAAGTGTTGTCCTCAGTGGAAGCTTGTTTC